CTTCAGTAGGGTTTTGAGTAGACCAGAGAGGAACTATTTTGTACCACGAAGGGAACACCTTGCTATAGTAAAGAGTCTGACATATTTCCACCCTTACCTCTATGGTTCAAGGTTTGCCATTAGGATAGACCATGCTGCATTACGCTGGTTAAGATCATTAAAGAACCCAGAGGGACAACTAGCACGTTGGATTGGAAAAATAAACCAGTATAATTATAATATTGAATATAGAGAAGGAAAATCCCATGGTAATGCTGATGGACTGAGCCAAAGATCCTGCAAAAATGGCTGCAGACATTGCTGCAAAAGAGAGGTTGAACTAACCAGGTGCCATCAAGCTGAAGTCAAGCCGATTAACAGAGTTGATGATGGTGATGTGGAACCAAATCTAGATATCAAAGCAGAACAGGAGAAAGACCAAGATTTGAAGCCAATGATTGATTTTCTAAAAGCAAGTGTTTTGCGCCCTGCTTGGGAGAAGGTGTCTAGTTTAAACCCTGTGACAAAGAACTATTGGGCACAATGGGACCAGTTGAGGCTTGAAGATGGTATTCTACTCCGTAAATGGGAAAGTGACGACCTGGCAAACGATTATACCGAGAAAGTTATGGGAAGTTGTGTTGCGTCAATCCCATTATACTGTAACAGGAGGACATCTCGAAGTTAAGAAAACATTGAGTCACCTATGACACAGATTTTACTGGATAGGTATGAGACAACATATGGAAGAATGGGGCAGAACACGCAGTACATGTTGTGCTAAAAGGGGACCCAAGCATAAGGGACGTGCTCCAATGAAATTATATCAAGTTGGTGCACCAATGGAAAGAGTAGCCGTCAACATTGCTGGTCCTCTGCCCCAAACTCGTGCTGGAAACAAGTACATTTGTGTGGTGATGGATTATTTCACCAAGTGGTCTGAGGCATATGCAATACCAAATCAGGAAGCTCCAACTATAGCTTCGGCTATTAGTGATTTGTTCTTCAGATTTGGTATGCCATATGAACTGCATTCAGATCAAAGCCGTAACTTTGAATCAGCTGTGTTCCAAGAATGCTGCAAGTTGTTTGGCATACGAAAGACCAGAACAATACCACTTCACCCATAGTCTGATGGGATGGTAGAAAAGTACAACTGGACATTGGGACAGGAATTGGCAAAGTTTTGTAATAGCCGTCAAGATGACTGGGATGTCTTACTCCCTCCACTGTTGATGGCCTATAGGACAGCAGAGCATGAAACCAATGGATTCACTCCAGCAAAGTTGATGTTTGGTCGTGAACTTCGGTTGCCAGTGGATCTGTTAACAGGACGCCCACCTTATTAAGAGTTGCCTGAGAATGTGTCAGAGTTTGTGAAAGTGTTATCGGAAAGGATGGATGATATTCATCATCAAGTGCGTT